TGGATGGTAAAAGAGACATGGCATGTAAAAAAAGACCTTGCCTGAATCAGTTGCAGTTGTAACAGTCATTGAGATCTTTCCCTACAAGATGTTTCTATATCATTTCCATTGCTTTCATTAACATTTCTTACTAACAATTCTCTCAACACACAAAAATTACAAATATTAACTCTTCAATACAGATAATTCATTCAACAATTTTCCACCCGACAACTCTTTTCTCACGGGCAAAACTTCACAAGCCTCTCACTGCTCTATTGCTATTTCCATGGAAAGTGTTCAGCTGAATTATATTCCTTATTTCCACCAGTCCGAACCTTCACAGGGCTAAGACCACCCTCATTCTCTTTGTATTCCTTTGGTGAAATGTAAATTCCACTTGAGCAGCTTCTTCCCACAAACCACTGCCTTGTGGAACCAACTATCTAGAGGATGCTTCTCTGATCACTACAATCTTAATCTGTTCAAGTCTAAAGATAATCATTATCTTCCACATATATCCACATAAACTGTGTCCCTTATTTTGTAAACCTCTACCTTGAGTAACCCTCGGGCTTTGTACAGAGTGAACATCATTGTAAAAGAAAAATGAACAGTCATCAAGAACAGATTTGAATTTATAATTGAAAGGATTGTTATTCCCTTGAAATGGCTATTACTGTATACACTTTTGACTTCCTCAGCAATATTTCTTGTTTTAAAAAGCAATGATTAGAATTTTAATAAAACCCAAACATATAAAAGCGGATTTATACATTTTCTTGACAGTTGGCAACAAACACTATTTAATTATTAGATTGAATAAAAAATTGTTTTTGTACTAATATATAAATAGTAAATAATAAATATTGCATTGTAATTGATTTACATTTGTTGCTAATTTTGTAATTTTTTATAAGTTTTTGAATGTAAAATAACATAAAAATTTATTTCTTAATAAAAGATCAGTAATAAATATTATATTGTATTTGGTTCACATATTTTTATAATCTCGTAAATAAACACTGCCAAGGGAGTCAAAAGCATATACTGTAAAAGCAGTGTCAAGGTAATAGCCATTCTTTTGACACACCATTTTTGCTGAAAAATTTTAGTGAAATTTGTAATCTATTGAATCTGATTCAGAAGGCAAAACTAAGTCTAAGTCTAAGTCCAATCCTACCTTTGCATCTAGAGCAAAAAAAAAATTCTTTAAAAACCTACACTTTTCTAACATATGATTCTACTGTCACAAGTTATTTTACAATCTAAAGATTCAGTTAATCTATGAGAAAAGCTAAAATTACTTTTCACTTAATGACAATAAATGAAGTCCAACTTTTTACAAGGCTTGAATGCATTTGTATATTCCTATTTTTTAGCAAGAAACAACTTTATTTTGTTTATTCATAATCAAATGATCACAAAATGTAAAGTTGAAGCAATGAAATGGAACTGGAAATGATGATAATCTAAAGAAGAAAAATAATGCTTTGCAAGGAATATGCTTGGAAATTAAGGATAATGACATTATTTTTTTTGTCAAGCAGATCAGATATACATTGATCAGTTGATAAGATGATGATGTGGATTCCAAGATGAAATTCGGTCTCCAATGAATGACAAATGCAGGAATTAAATATAAGAAATAAAATGTATTTACACAATAATACAAAGGGTAATACTGTTAGTAAATGCAGGAACACGGTTAGTAGCAATAACATATAGATATATATAGTCTCGAAGTAGGACTTCCTTAGAGTCTACGTGCTTGTAACTGACTTCTACAGGCGGTTACCTCACACTATTACTCTACCTCCAACTCAATCACAATCTCAGTCTTCTTACTATCTCTACTCACTGACTGTCTGACTGGGTATTTAACGGCAGTAGTCCAAGTAACACTGGTAGATTTCACTTATATGAAAAGGGGAGGACCCCATAACAGATGATATTTAAAATGAAAAAGATATCTATGTTTTTCTATATTAATATATAAAGATTTTTTTTGTAATTTTTCTTATAGTCTTTTTATTTTTTCTTTCTTTTAAAAAGATATGCAAGATAAAGTGGTCAACATGGATCAGAGAACAGACCAAGAAGTGATTAAATGATAAAAATGGTGGTTGGTGTGGCACATAGCCAGAAGGAAGGATAATAGATGGAGCAAAAGGTTGGTTGATGCATACTTATTGAGCAACAAATACAGTCAGTTTATAACCACACAGTAAATGAAAAAATGAGATAAAGGGTCTTGCTATTAAGACAACAGAGAATAGCACAGTTATGTTAGTCATGGAAGAAATTGGAAAAAGTTTTTGTCCAACAGTGAACTTGTAATGAATGATGATATATATATCTATCTATATATCTATCTATCTATCTATCTATATATATATATATATATATATATATATATATATATATATATATATATATATATCTTAATCATCATCCCCTTGATTTTTGAAATTGTAGGGCGGATCCAAATGCAGAAGCCACACTAACTTTTTCCACAACAGTCTATCAACAGCAGCCATCAGCAGTTCTTGTTCATATATGTATACTTAGGCAGCATATCTTCATACAAGCATGTTTTATTAAATAATATAGACATATGTATATTTATTTTTATAATAATCCTTTTCATTTGTCTTCTTGATGTTAAGCTGAAATTCATCAAGGAAGACACCATATTTTTTTAACCCAAGTACATTTGATCTTCTCTGAGATCATACTCAGGGGTAAATTGTGAAACATTGTATAAAACAAAAAGTATGGTGCCTTCTTTGATGAATTTCAACTTAACATTAAGATAATTAGAGAACTAGAAAGGATTATTATAAAAATAGACATATATGTCTATATTATTTCATGAAACTATATTTGAATATATATATATATATATATATATATATATATATATATATATATATATATATATATATAATTAGCAATTTGCTTCTTTTTTTCACTTCTCACACTTTATTGTCATACATATTCTGTGTGATACACTTCTATAACATTCATTAGGACTTACTAGTGGGAATATATAATCATGTAGAGTTTACATTCCAGAGAATTCCTTTTCTTTTAATTAATGAATTAAATATTGAAATATATATTTTTAGTCACATGGTTACACATTATTTTCTATTTTCACATGTGAAAGGACAGAGCATTTAGTAAAAAAACAAAAAAAACAAAACAAAAAAACATGTTTATTTTTAAAAGAAAAGGAAGCCAATATGTACTCTTACTGTCAAATGCCAGTTATTTTGACCTCATTTTAAGTATTTGTGTCACATAAAAAAGCAATTTAAATTTTTGGGTTAACATGTCTTTTTCTTCTATTTTGTTTAAAATTATTGTGTATAATTTCTTTAATATTTACTGAAGCACATCAAAGATGGAAGAATAAATAGATTAGCAAGCATTCAGTTCTAGTTTGGTAGGATTCCTTTTATGAACAATGTTTGTAATACACAAGAAAGCCCATCCTCCACATTCCTGTTTTGAAACTAGTTTCAGGAACTTAATAAATATTCAACATAGAATGATATTGAAGCAGAGGGATTGCTAATGTAGAACTTTTGGTAAAGCTACTGGCTTTCTCCTTTTACCTCTGACTATTCTCTTGCACTTAATTCATCCTCTTGGCTTAGAATTGTTGCATATTAAAGAAACAGATTCCTACTGAAAAAAAATCTCATTTTCCTAGAAATTGCTTCTTCATCTTTTAAAAATGCTTTATCAATGTTTTTGCATAAAGAATAGAAAAACACATTGATACATGCACCAGGGTTCAGGCATGTTTCACCAAATGTTTGCCAGAGTAGAGATTAGAAATGTCACTCATGCAGAAAGCTGTGTTTAAAAACAAAATAACAATAACAACAAAAATTTTGACAAAATAATGGAAAATATCATCTAATTAAATAGTTAAATATGATTTTTTGTGTATAGTAAACTTAAAAAAAATCATTTCACCTCAAGCAAGGCAATAATGCCACTAAAATGCAAGGAGAGTGAAAGAGAATGAAAAGATGGTAATGAGGAGAAATGTCAATGAAAAAACAGGATTCAGAAAGACAGAAATATTTATCTTTAACTATGAAAACAAAATGGTGAAACATATGAAACATTTGAATTTATCTTAGCAAAAACGGACTACTTGGACTTATCTGAGGGCTTTGTATATGCAAATCAAATTTTATCATACGTCAATGTTTTCATGATATAATTACTATTAACCAATTGATTAATGGTGTAAATTTCAAGATATATTTACAGGGTAAAAATATCATGTGAATTTAAGTTTATAATAACTTTTTTTATTAGAAAATTATTTACAATAACTTATTTGGTGGTGTGATATTTTATTATGTAGTTCTTAAGTTTGTTCAAAATATTGGAAATGGATACATAGTTATAGTATATTTATTGATATTTATTTTTTAATTTCAGAGAAATATAAATTTCCATGGGTCATTTGAAAGATGGCCTTAAAAGTGAGACAATATATTTATTGAGTAATGTAAGTGCAATGTTGGAGATTGTGGAAACTTGAACAGAGATCAAAACAATAAAAAAAGAAATGGATAACATTGGCAAGAACAAGAAAAACTGGCTTTAAGTATGTCTTAAAAAGACATTTGAGAAAGATTAAAAAGATTTTAAAAGCAAGAAATGTGGATGTACCAGTAAGAAAATATTTGAAGCTGGAGTTGTGAATGTAAACAATGATAGATTTGTTTTCTATGGCTTATCAACACGTTGCAGATTATTTAAAGCCAGAAAATATTTTTAGATTGTAAGAATTTTTTTGAGATAATAATGATTTAGTAATACAAATCTTACTAATTAACCCATAGCTGGGGGGTGGACAGAAGGTGGATTCATACCTTTCCCAAGGGTATTTGCTCATAAGTGGATATAATGAACCCAATGGGAATTGAAACTCGGCTCTCAGATTAACAATTCTGAGCCATTATCCATTATGCCATTTGCACATTCAAATT